AATACACTCAAATATAATATTATGATAATTATAGTTACTTTTCAATAAAAAAAAAGTAAAAAATTAATAATTATAATAAAAAATATGACATCCATTAATATTTGAGCAACTTAAGCTTATGTTATAAAATATATTGACTTGGATGGTGATATTAATTTGGTTACACGTTTTTTTWWAAATATATTTAAACTATGAAACAAATTAACTTACCTTTAACTCATATTAGGATTAAATAGCGAGCATATCGACAATATTAGGGTAATTTTCACGGTTTCAATCCGGCTGTCCTAACCCTCCTCCAAATCCTATACGAATGTCTCCAAAATATTGTTGGGCTTTAACRTAATGCTAGGCTGGGTTTTGAATAATTGACCGAACGCTACACGAAACTGTTTGCTCATGCAACAATAAAATACAAAGTTTAACGACGCATTCAAGAGAGCTAACATGTCCATAAGTTCGCCAAATAAACTGTAACAAGTTTGAAAAAAACCCCTTCCTAGTATGCCACTTAGTAGACCTAGTATTCCTTGAGGGAATTCCGTGGCAAGAAATAATAACAACACCGCAATCATTATGCGACTAGTTCGGTCCATTCTTTTCTTAAGTTTCATGTTCCTTATACGAGCCATTTGTTGCTGGGTCGGAAGTCGTTTTGCTTTCCTTTCAGATGCTTCACTCAACGCATTTATCTAGAAGTTGAAATTACAATATTGATATTTTGGATTATAGGATTACCATTATATTTAAGTTAATTTGTACTGTATAAAATTGATATAAGAGAACGTAATTTTATATTAATTTTATTTTCGAGATAAAATATGTTATGGACGTAATAAACATAAAAATAATTCTTAATTTGAGAAGAATACTTTAAATGATTATTATATTGTTTACGTTGTTTTGAACTTTCAGTGAATATTAATGGAATAATTTAGTAATATTATATATATATAAAAAAAAGAGAATTAATGAATAATTTATTATTCCAGATTGTTGTTACAAAATAAAAACGTTGAAAAAAGTTACAAAAAGGATGATTTATACGGTGGTAGAAAATTAGTGCATTCTGGGTGGTTTACAGACATTTTATATTAAAAAATATTTGTTAATTTTCGTTTAAGATGTTTACTCGGAAAGTTAAACAAATAATTAAAAAAAGCTATTTTCAAGGGCATCTTTTATATTACTAATTTACACCAGTGTTGCGATTTTGGATCTTTGAAAGTGCTCATATTATAGGTATATCTTTTAAAGTGATAATTGCTCATCTATTATTGGAAAAATGCTACAGCACTGTGACAAGTTAAACTTACTAGAGATATGGTGACAACGGTAAGTATTAGGCAAGGTAGTAGTTTGATGATCACAGCATATGTCCACAGATGTATCATGTACAATAATTCATTGTTTACTCTTGCTATTGTGCTCAAGCCCAAATGGTACAACGTGGCCACAGTGCCATTTTCGATGACTTTCGTTTCCAGTATTTCAAACACAAGAAAGGTCGGGCTGCAAATAATAAACGGCAGCAGATACGATAATTTGATGGCTATACTACATCGCTGGTCGGAGCAGATGGCRTGCATAGAGTTGGGCAATCTGTAACACAATAATAATAAATCAATATTTTCATTGTTTTTATTTTTGCATTACACCTATAAACAATTCAACTACGCATAAATATGTTAAAAATAAACCATTACGAAAAACGTACTACAATTATTATTATTAAAATTTATGACTGACAGAAATGAAGTATGATTAATTATTTGGAAAATAATGAGAATAATTTAAGCCCAGTTAAGTTCATTAATATTACGAAAGTTACATTAATAAAACTGTACGGATTCAGAGTTGATTAACGTTACCATTTTATTGTATATATTTATGTCTTAGACAAAAAAAATTTACAGAAACATAGCATACAAACAGGTAATAATAAAAATTATTATAATGACATAAATTACATTACATATTARTTATATTACATAGTTATGRTATTATAAATTTCATATAAAATTCTTTCGACAATGAAAGGTACCGGTGCATGTATTTTTTTGTTTTAATTATGTTATAGAATATAAAATTAGTAATAGTTATTGAATTTTTGACTTATTAAAAGCTTCTAGTAGATAATTATATTTTAATGTTTTAAACAATATTTGTTGTAATTCTAGAAATTTTTCTGTACAGTAAAATGTGTAAAAAAGGCTTTAAGAACTGAGTAAAAGTATACTTTATTAAGAATATTATTTCTAAACGATCCAAACCAATTAAAAAATTATTACATAATTTGTTCGAAACTTTGATTGTTAATTAATGTTTAATTTTGTCTTTGAAAACAAAATATATTTATAAAAAATAACCTTATTAGTTATTTTATATGATGCTACCGTATTTCAAACATAACCACTAGGTAATCAGGTAAACTTTATTTCATAATAAAAGGAAATAAACTAATCTGGATAAAAATAGGGAATAAAGAATTCAATGCCAAAATAAAGCAGAAAAAACACAACATTTAAAATACATTCAATATTCAAAGTCAACGTCAATAATAATATTTAATAATGAATTAATAGATAATAGCTATTATGTTATACTAATTAAATGTTTTTAAAAAAAAATGTGTAAAATGTATTATTAGGTTATTCAGATATTTATGTGATAAAAAAAAAAAAATGAAATAATTATTATAAATGATTCTACCTACGCTTTAGCTCTCATCTAAACAAACTTTAAAAAAATCTAGCTGCATTAACCATCTCTGGTAACTCTCCTCGTCACCCTAAGTGAAAATGTTGCAGAGACCTACTAAACCCTTAATCCAAATAACAATAATAATAATGGTAATACTAACAAAAAAGAATAATTGTATAAAATAAAACAGTTAAAAGACAAAAGTGTCGTCGGTGAGTGGCTTCTTCATTTAACATTTTCAATTTTTCTTTTGTCAATTAGMTCATACTCTTATGGTGCCGATTGTGTATACTATTAATTAAGAAAAAACAACGCAAATTACATAATACATATTAAATTGTCAATTTAACTTTTTTTTAATCAAAATTAAATTCTGTATACGTAGATAATAAGAGAATCTATCATATATACATAATTTCCGTACAATAGAGTATAAAATATTAGTAGGTTTATTTCTGTATAATACAGTGAAACCACTAAATACCGGACACTCTCGGTCGCTGAAATTTGGTGCGCTATTCAGAGGATTCAGCATGGAGAAAGTTCGAAAATTGTTTCCAAAAAAATCGTTGGCTATTTATAGGATATGGGGGAGGTTTCACTGATTTTGGTATTAACTAGGCTAAATTATAGTTTAATAAATTGTTGAGCTCTTTTCCGCTCGATTAATTTATTCTTTTTTATTTAATTGTATTCGTAACATGTTGTTTAATTAAACTTATTTGCTCAAATTGTTTTATTTTAATAGGTCATGAATAAATCTTATTACTATAATCCCTATGACTAAGCTTAAATTTTAATCGGAGTGATAAATGTATTGATTTAATAATGATACATGTTTTTTTTTTTGTGTCTATAGGTATACACGAAAAGAAATTGAGAAAATGTTTCAATTTTCTTTTTTGAGGGTGGTTTCTGATAGAAAATTGGATGTAACTGGTACTTTTAAGAGGTTAAAACCCAAACCTGGCTGACATGATAATATCWTTGAATTCAAATTGAAAAGTCCATTGGAGAGTAACTCATAGGACACCTAATGTACAACTGAGTGGTATTTACTCTTCCAATTTTTAGATTCTGGAGTGGAGCTATGAGTGTTGATCTTATAATAATTCAAAATTATTTTAGAAAAATACTGCTATTTATACACACACAAACGTACCGTTAAATTATTATTGAATGTGATTCATTAGATTGCATAGTTGTTTAGTTTTTAAATTACTGTTGGTAGTTTACTACAATTATTAAGTATATTATTAGTTCATTATTGTATGGTCTTTACTTGGTTAAATACATATATTTTCTGATATATTTAAATTTCTGTATTTTTGAACTTGAAAAAAGATCAAATCTTGTAATGTTTTACATATAAATTTAAAGTCTATTCAAAAATTGGTATTTAAAATTAAACTAAATTATTACATTATGATTATTGAATATCGAATATACAGCATTAGGGTTTATTGGTGTGGCCATTCAACGCACGCTGGTCATTCGCTTCAAGTTGGGCGCTGGGAGAACCTCTTGTAATGTTAATTATGGAAAACCTAAACTTTGACCGAGGTGACAGATTTTTGGGGTTATATATTCGTAGCTTTATATCATGACAGAATAAGCTGACTACTATAATATGCACAACCCATGTATACTACCGTGTGCAACCCGAGCTAAMGCCAAAGTTCATGGAATATATAGGCCAATTTTAATATGATGGTATTAAGGAGGTACATCGTTTTAGTATAGTAGCTAGATAATTGCTGATTTAATCATTTTGATTGAATCAAAGTCTTGTTGCTTAAGATTTATACAAGCTCGTGATAATCCGTACAGTAATATAATTTCCTTGTAACTATGGAAACTCGTCTTTACTTATAGTGAGATATGACGTTAAATTAAGTAACCTACCGGCTACCATACATGTTTTGTATGAAAAAAAAGTCTATAACCACATAAAATTATGTATTCSCTTTTAATAGAACGAACATCCAGAAGTCTTTACCTTCATATAATGTCATCTCGCATACAGAGTATAGCTAGGTACAGGMAATTTATGAAAATAATTTAAGATGGGATAATTATATATTATAGTTTCTATACCAAATTACAGCAGATTATATAAGCATATAACTCATTTAGTGCTTTGAAGTGAAAAACCATTAAATTATATTATATCCGACAATTATCCGTACATTACTTATTTTTATATGTGGTGTTCTTAAAATTTTGAATATTATGTAGTATATAATGTAGCTATTAGATTGGCATTCCGTTTATGTATAAAATTAAGTAGAACATTTATAGAGTCTATTCTTGAAACATGCATACAATTTCAGTATAGTGCGAAGTTGTATAAAATAATTTGATCACTTCTTAATTATTTCTTAAGTAAGGTAATTAAGCAAGTTTATGAAATGTGAGATTTAGCCATTAAATGGTAAGCCTTCAGTATATAAATTATTTAAAACTGTAATACGTAGTTATAATTACAATTTATATATATTATACAATATATAAACCATTTTTAAATTTTAGAATATGGTTTCTTTTTATCTTTTAATAGTATTACTCTAATAGATAATTATATTTCACTAYAATATATCTATATTAATTTAGTTCCAATGAAACGTTCGACGGGAAAGTTATAATTTATATTGCTATAACTATATAATTTATTTATTTTTTAATAATTTGTAATTACCTACAAATTATATTAAGCGAGTACTTCTTAAGTTTAAAATTATACTTATAATAAAATTGAAAATTATAGTTAATATTTTGAATACCGAGGTATGAAAGCAGTACCTATACGTAAATGAATAAAATAAAAYTTGTATTGCCCACAAAAGAAAATTCCAAAATATTAAAATATTTTTAACCAATTTTTCGATGAAATGTAATAACATATATATAACTACGATCTGATGAATATGAATAATATTATGATTTATGAGGATGGACTATTGAATTGTATGTTATACTCTTGAATTTACATGTTTTTACAAAATAATAAAAATGATTAAAGTTTTAGAGAAATGATAGATCTCCTGACTTGTATTTACCCAATATCAGATCCAAATCCCAAAACTTGATTCTGCTCGAYATGAAAATACAAATCCRAGAAATGTATGGGYATTATAATTAACTACATTGAAATTCGAAATAAAATGCCACGATTATAATAAAAATAATGATCGATTGTAGTATGATTTAATCGAATAACTTAAAGCTATTTCGTTCGAAATACTGTTGGCTCATTGTATTTTCCCTGGCTCGTGTATGTCTTCAGGAATTTCTTCATTTTCATGAATCTTATAACCTTTTMGTGTATCACTCGAACATTTTAAACAGAAACATTTTCTACCCTTTTAAATCAAAATAGTGATTTATATAAACAAAGTGTATGCATCATCATAAATTATGAWTGGTCACGGCAAGAATATGTATTTCTAAAATAAAGTATATGTCCTGGGTAATGTTTTATCTTAAACAAGTTCTTTCCTTAAAAATGAGACACAATTTTTCCTACATTATCCATTGGATAAAAATGTACTTTCTATTACATTCGTCTTAACCTCATCTTTCGATATGACGCAGAAACGAATCGTATGATGGCACTTTAGATTTTAATACCAATAATATTATGATCCATTAATAATCAAAAAATATCGTTTTTATTTGGAAATTAACTCACATGCGCCATTAATATATACATTTTATTACGATCAAAAAGGATTATTATATCGCTGTTATGATCGTGATTGTACTTTTAGCAAAGCACAGTAAAACTGCGAAATTGGAGATTTATAAGCTTTACGCAGTTGGGTTTAATAACCTATAYATATACCTATACATATATGGATAATGTATATAATAATATTATATGCATTATGTTTATTTGT